TGAGGAACGTCCCTTACCATGCGTGCATTCCGGGGTGATATCTTCAAAGAAGTACTGAGTTGCTTCGAACGCGGAATCTGGCTCGTCTTGATCAGAGGATGGCTCTAGGGAGGGGAGGAAGGAGAATTCTCATCCTGGCAGGGCCAGACTCACGAGAGTGTACCTTACATTAAAGAAATGATTCAGGGGAGGATGAGAGGCTAAAGCTACCGAGGTGAGGCAGGGTCCCGTGGAATGCCCACCGCCCCTAAAATCTCGCCGGGAGAGGGGGTCCCCCCATCTCTAACTCCACCCTCCATTCTAACGACCACACACCAAAGTGTCCCTTTACAGTTTCCTTTTAATGGAGATGTTCCTAAATCCTGTGGTCCTTTATGAACCAAATTTTAGAAAATTATATGCGATACATTCCCAAATCCATAAATTTACCCCATCTCTACCCTAGTGCCAATCCCTCCTCTATTTCTTTCTTTTTTTTTAAGTATTTGTGAGATCTATCCCAGCTGAAGGCCACCCTTGTTTAAAACTTAACTCACATCCTCGCCATCTTTCTCACTTGTTTCTGTCCATGGTAGAACCGCTCCCCCCGCCCCAGACTGGGGACCTCTGAATCTCCTCTGCTCCTCTCTCTCACCACCCTGGAATCCATGTGTTACCAAATGCTAGTGATTCTCTCTCTTGCACAAGCCTGCTCTTTGCTATTATCACAGCTCACACTTCAGACAGGTAAAGGATGGGACTCAAGCACCTGCTGGCTCAGGAACTTATGTAGTCATTATTCAGTTCATTCTCAGCAACCAGTGAGTGATTTTGTATATCAAAAAGAGGTGAATAGATCTCTCTCTCTCTCTCTCTCTCTCTCTCTCTCTCTCTCTCTCTCTCTCTCTCTCTCTCTCTCTCTCTCTCTCTCTCTCTCTCTCTCTCTCTCACACACACTCCCACACACACACACACACACACACAATTTCAAGCCAGGTCATGGTTGCAGGTACACATACTTACCAGGCAAGACATGCATTTTGTATAGGAGTTTGAGTTTCTCTGTGAGGTCCCCATGGCAGGCGGCACCTAGAAGTCACAGAAATGCCAATGTGAAATGTATCTTCTGGGCTAGGAACCCCTCTGGGCTTAGCATTTCCCTGAACAGTCTGCTTTTCACAAACTGAAACCAGGACACTAGGTGACAGACCGTTGGCCGGGATATATTTAAACTAAGAGCTCTGGACCCAGGATTCCTGGTTCGAAATCCTTCGTATTTACTATGTGACCCTGGAGTCAACCTGGCTCTAACTCTATAAGGCATGATGATAAATAGTAGATTCTATCAGTGGTCTCGACATCAGGACCCATGAAATGTGAGAAATGTGTTAATACTATAAAACACTTAGAATCGTGCCTGGCACATAATTAACTCTGTATTAGTAAGAAAGATCATGTGAACGAACCTCAACACTAACTAACTGTTAAGAGTTCAGAAATAATCTCAAAGTCTATTTGGGATTGCTTCCAATTACTCATTTTAGGAATTCTTTTGTTGTTGTTGTTGGTTTGGGTTCTCCTTAACGCTTCTTCATTTTAACTTATTCTAACCTGTCTGCCATTACAGCACCATAACTTCAATCTAAAGAATCCTGTTACTTTTTCCTTTAAAGTCCATGTGCATTTCAGCAATCAGAAAATCCTTTAAATATCTATTCTCAGGGCACCTAGTTGAAGACCAATTAGACTTGGAAAAAGAAGAAAAAGGGAATTCTAGCATTTGCATTGGCAGAGACATCAAGGATTATCTCGTCTGACCTCCCACTTAACACAGGAATCTCACACATCCACAGAAGTTAGGAATCTAGCATCTGCTAGAACATTCTCAGAGACACGGAGCTTGTCAAAACCAGAGGCATCTCATTCCACTGATGTATTCTGTAAATACTGAAAATTGTTCTGTAATTTTTAGTCTCAGGATCCTTAACCTGCAGACTCGACTTCATAAAGCCCATGAACCCCATAAAACATAACATTTTGTGTCTATGTGCATGTGCCATTTTTGGAGAGGGAAATGTCCATAGTCCTTATCAGATCTCAAAGAGCCCATCACTCCTTCCCTTTATTCTACTCTTTAAAGGCAAACAGGCCTACTGCCTCCTCAGTTCAAGTCCACACATTCACCATCCTGAGCCCTTCAAACTTATCTTTTCGAGGCAAATCTATCTCCCTTGGGATACATTTGAACTTTCCAGCTTTCTCATACGACATGGCTTGTATACATACCCTTCCCTATTCTTATCCACATTGCCTTACATGTTAATTTGTCAATCAATATCCCTCTGGACAGAAAGTTCCAGAAGCTGCTCGGCCACTTCAGAGCACTGTTCTTGACTCTTACACTAATACAGCCTAAGTCTGCATTCAACTTTTTATACGCCTTTGCTCAGGAGTTTCGGACTGACCGCAGGGTTAACTGAACCCTAAGATGTCTGCACACACTAATACTAATCATGAAATAATGACGTTTATTAACCATTCACTTTGTGTGATGCTCTTTGCTAACTACTTTCCACTCTTCTCACAACAATTCTCTATGAAATGATACAATTATTATCTTGATATTACAGATGAGAAAAGTGTGTTCAGTAATTTGTCCAAGATCATAAGCTAGTAGGTAGCAGGCCCATGATTTAAACTCAGATTTGTCTGACCCTAGATGCCATGCTTGAAACCACTATATGATAGGCAGACACCTAGCTAGTTCTTTTACAATCACTTCTTAAAATTTAGGATGTCTGATTTGTCCCTATGGATTTCTTTTTCTGAATCATTTCCTCCTCTCATATATATGTGTTTTTTAATTTCTTTTTGTCATTTGGCTCTCTCTCAGCTCTGTGAATCCCACACATTTGTATGGCTTTCTCTACCTTTATTAAACTGCTGACTGAGTCCAATAGAAAGGGATAAATAGTTATCTTAGGGATCATAACCTATTTTGAGCCAGACACTGTTCTAGACACTTTACTTGAATTATCTCACTTAGTCCTGACAACAACACTATTGTGCAAATAAGGAAATAATCACAGCCCAATGTATTAGAGACTCTCAGTTGAAACTGATTCATTAACCATCACACTTCGGGGGCCGTGTTTGGCCAGTGCTGCAACCATCGACCTTCATACACTTCCGCCTTTCCCATTTGTAATGAGTTATCGATCTGTCAAATGACCAGCTGCATCGTGACATCCGTGACATGTTTAGAGGCTCCACCTTTCAGCAACACAGTTGGAAGAAGAGAGAACAGCTCATCTGTGGCTTCTGATGGTAACCTCTCATTGCTAAGTCCATGCAGACCATCCGTTCACTGATTTCTAGAGGCATCTTTCTGGGGATTGACATTAAAATGACTGATCCATCTTTATCAGAATTCATGTTTTAGCTTTTAAAGACTCGAAGAGAATTTCTCTTTCCTGGTCTACTTGTCTGTCTCCAGAACAGTGACTGAGAACAGCTGAGTTCTTACAGTCATCTGGGTGTAGCTTACTTTGCTCAAAATACTGCATTTTAAGAAGCCCAAGCCTCTCTTTCCTTTCTTGAAGATTTTGAAAAGTATTTTTCTTGATGGAGTTGACTACACTTAAATATTTATAATTTCTATCACTTTCTACATGTAGAACCTGCCCCTTTTTCCTCCTCATTCTTGTCCAAAGATAATTTTTAAAAAATCTTTCCGACAGACATCAATATAATAACGAGTTGTTACCTTGGGGACAGAAAAGATTAGGATAAGGCCAAAGGGGCCCTGTAGCCTTGTCTGGATTGTCTCACTTTTTTTTTTTTTTTTTTAAGCAGAATATACTTATATATTCCTTGTATAGCTAAAAATTAATACTTCCTTCTTCCTTAAAAAAAAAAAAAAAAAAACCCCCTTTGCTGTTCTCAGGAGAAAGGATGACCTTTCGAGACAGACAGCTGTGGTCTGAATCCGGGCGTGGCATGTGCTATGCTGACTATGACGTCACTTCAGGTCATTAACAGGCATGTGTTCACTCGTGAAATATTAATGTCCCAGCAAGTTCCTTAACTTTTCTGAGCTTCCATCCTTTTAACGGAATAAAAGAAAGCAGGTAGGTAACGAAGTGTACTAGCAACAGCACCAACTGAGCCTCGAGGATGCCTGGGTTCAGACTTCAGCTTTGTAGTTGAGATGCCTCCAGGCACATTAAATGCAAGTAAAGCACCAGGGCTGAGCCTGGCACAGGATAAGCGACACGGAAACGTGGGTTATCATTACAGCGACTACTCCGAGGGGCTGCTGCTGTTTGGATTCAGTGAGTAAGTACAGACTCTAAAGCATCAGAACAGTGCCTGCACTTAGCAAAGGCTAGTTAGTTCCTCCATGTCCCACCTTTGAAGCATATCCATGAGTACTTTATACAAGTAATTTTTTCTTACATCAGAGAACCTAAACTATACCCCTTTGCCTTTTTAAAAACCATCAGCTTCCTCTGTCTTTAAACCTTCCAGTCATTCATTATTCTTAAAGATTTAGGGGACTTTTTTGGAATCATTGTTGGCTCCATGCCTGACGCCGTCATCTCTCCTTAAGCATGTCACTTTAAAGTACATGGCCCAAGGTCACAGAGTGGCACAATTAAAATCAAAACATTTTTTTCTTTCTTATCACATTCTGGCAGCCTGACAACATGTCTGCTACATCCACAACCTCATAGCAATGGGTCAAGCCCAACTACGATGTAGCTTTTTTTCCCTCCACAATTATAAATGGAACGTGAGTCCAATCGAATATAGGGCAGGGAACAGGTCGGACCGAGCGGCTGACAGGCAGAAACCACACGCTGCTCGTGGGGTGTTGGGTGTGCATTCTCGTGATGGTCCGCCCTTCCGCCAGCAAAATGGAGAGAAAAAGACTTCCATTTAGACTGCAGAGCTGTTGTGGTTATTTTCAGCCCTTCATTAAAAACATCACAAAATGCTTTTATGAAATTTTATAATATCATACATAATATAAATATATATATATATATTTTTGGTCAAAGAAAAGCAATCCACCCAAATATTTCTTTTTCTCCGGTAATGTTATCGTGTCTATGGTTCCAGTGTTTAAGTTGTCATTTTATTGTCTTGTGAATTCTCCGATAAAGTATTTTAACGAGTGCTGGAGACTATTTAAGGCGATGACTTAATCGTATAACATATGCATGAACTAAAAATAAATTTTACAGTCAGTTTGCAAACCTTAAAATGTGGCCCTCTGCCCCTGACGGCAGCACTGAGCACCTCGGGGTTACTGCCCGCCCCCCCCATTCCCTCCCAATTCATGCACTCTCACCACATCCTTACTTAGCCCAGAGACAAACTCTCGGAAGTTAATCAGAGAGTCTCCGTTTTCATCTAATAACTGGAACAAGCGGGAGGCCAGCACGTCAGAGTGAGCTCCGCAGGCCCAGGGGAATAGAAGAGCGAACATCCCCTTGAACTGCTCAAAGTCAATGCGATACTGTTCGAGGTAAGGCAGGCTGGGGTCGTGCCGGTCCAGCGCGTTGCTGCTCCCGCCCCAGTAGCAGCTGGTTAGATGTTCTGCCTGAAAAATAACAACAATAACAAAAAGAGTGACATTGAGGACTCTATCTCACAGCAGATACCAGGAGGAAAGGGCTCACCCTCAAATTTGGAAAAAGGCTTCTTCTGGTCAACCCTTGTGCACCTCCTGGGGCAGTGCTTGAGTGTCAGGGCCCCTCTGTCTTCTTGCTCTGCATATATCTGCTCTTGGCCACCCCCAGCTCCATGGCAACCAGCTCTGCAGTGGACACTGGCTACGAGAGACCCGGATCAATTACTGGAGCAGGAGAAGAAAAAACGGGGAACGACTCTGCCCCCGGCCTTTCCTTCTCTCTTATACATATACTCACGGATGTTCTAAGAAATAATTCCCATAGACACCTTTCTTTTTTTAATTTAAAAGAAATAAAGAGAATGGACACCTGAAAAGGATCTGTAATTTGAGCCACGTGACCACCTTGTTCTCTAAGTGAGGATGGTAAAGGCCAGGGGTCCAGTGGCCTGCACAGGTCATCCAAGCACAACGCAAAGCAGATCATGATGAGATTCTGAGTTTCCGATTTCTAGTTTAATGTCCCATAAACCCCCCTGCCTCCTGGTCACCAAAATCACATAGGCATCATCATAGCCATATACGGTAGTCACGCTACCAATGTGTGGTCCTCCTATTTTACACATCTGAAAACAGCTCTAGAAAAACTACGAGTAGGAGCCACTACGGTAAGAAGAGAGATCCAGATCCAGCAACAAAAAGCTGCCTGTTTCTGTCCTTGGAAACAAGGAGGCCTCTTTACTCACGAGGTCGTATTGATTCTGGTAGAAACAGATGCTCATTCTAGGAAGACCGCAGAGATAAAACACGTAGCAAGGACCGGAAGAACACCCCCACTCTACACAGAGTCCGTGCTGGATGGCGGGTGAGGGGAGGGGAGGGGCGTGACAACGGGGACTGTATTTTTCCTTTACTCCCCGAGGTACTGAGTGTTTCACCACAGACATGCGCAAATATTACAACAGAAAAAAGCACCTTCAGACCAACAGGTCTTTCCCCCTTGCCCGGAGATCCTGAAAAGAGGGGAGGGAGTCAGTTGAGAGCGTGTAGCACTTCTGTTTGGCTCTCATTTAGAAAGGAGCAAGGAAGACCAATGTCTTTATCATAATGGTTTACCAGGAATTATAGCTAATAACCTAAAAAAGAGAGGACTGGGAGGACGGAGGAGAGGAGAGGGGAGAGGTGGAGAACGGAGCCCACACCAGGTTTTCCGCAGCGCAGCCTTGGGAGGATAAAGGAAGTCTTCTGAGATCCACCAGGGCTCGGGGTGCATTCCTGACTGCAGGGTGGAGGCAGTGGTGAGTCAGAGGGAGGGGATGAAGGCTGAGGTCCCAGGCAACGCATGAGTTGAGCTGTTTTCTGAACTATCATGAGTGATGCCCAGCAACCCTCTCTTGGAGGCACGTGTTGGTGACACATCCTTGGAAGAGGTCCCCTTTACCTGAGCGATGTCACTGGATAAGGGTTATCTAGAGCATTTCCTTCTGAGGTAGCTTAGTGACTCTGGAACTGGCCTGCCTGAGTGTGGTGCAGGCACTTTGACGGTGCTCACAACCAGCAGGAAAGACAAGCCATGCAGATCATCTCCCTACTCTGTGATGAGACTCCACTATCCATCATCTGAGGGATGAGGGGCCCAGAGATTGAAAAAGGGCCAAGGGACTAGTTTGGAAAGAAACTAGGGCAAAGGGGCCACAAATCAGCCTCACGGTGGTAGCCTTTCACCTTTTCCTCCAAGTTTTAACCCAAAGCCCAACATTAAGTTCTTTGCGAGAGGACTGCATCTTTCCTTCATATCTATAGGAAACCCCCAGAAACTGGCTTTTTAAAGAACTAAAAAGTCTGGTAAGGTGGGTGTCTGACATATAGTAATGCTTCCCTAAATGTTTGTTTAAATGAATTAAAACCAATTCAAGTATTCAAGAGAGACCATAACTGATGGTTTTGTCTTGGTTCCATAGTACCAGGGACTCCTTCCCACTGGTGACACCAATAAGGGTTTCAGGTTCTTTCTCGGAGTGCTCAGTGGACATGGGGAACTCGTGTTTGTCAACGCACTCATAGGGCAAGCTTTTTGAGCATAAGAAAAGGTTGCTTTCTTGAAGTATACTCTCAGGGCACAAATGACACACCTGAGACCTGGAGGTGCACAGACAAAGAGTGGCATGCACGGTGCCCAGGTAAGAAGACACGGCTTCAGCGATCTCTGGGTCCGGGACTTCTGCACACCAGCCCTGGCCCTTCTTTTCCTGGTATCTCTCAAAGGTGGCCTCCTCTTTCCAATGTCATAACCCTTCTCATCATCAGTTTGTGGTCTTGTTGCCTCCAGCTGCCACTTCCTCTTCTATTTAGTTACCCCAAATCCTGGCCCTACCTCCCCGCTGCCCTGTGAAGCAGATTTCTTCTGGTCCTCAGCATCCCTTTAAAATCCGATCTCAATTGGATCCTTAATTTTTATTGTTCTGATCCAAGTTGGATCATTATATTTTTCCTTTATGAAATAAAAGAGGGACCCCTTCCTTATGGAGAACCAACTTATACCGAGCAATTAGCTACGGGGCTTTAGCTGTATGGATAAAACATGAATGAGATGGCACCCTGTAGAGACTTGACCATTAAGTGCTGAATGGAGGCTGGTGGGGGCACTGTTGTCCACTCTGCTTTTCATGCTGCTGGGCTGACAAAGCACGTCACCAACCAGCTATGAAACCTCACTCTGCACCCACATCGGAAACACGCAGAGAGTGTACCAGACAGATAACTGATCGCTAATTGACCCATGTATTCAACACACATCTTTGGAACACTTATGGGGTACAGACACAGTACTAGGCACCAGTGAAATGAAAATAAATAAAACAGGAGTGCCCTCTAGTAGCTAACAGACAAGTGAGGATATTAACCACAACATTCCCAGCTATCACATTCTCTGATTCTGAGATCTGTTAGTGTTCAGCTCAGACCTTCACGTCTGGGCCTTTATGGTTCATTCCTATACTATCTTTGCAGCTCCCAATACAGGTGAGTTTAGTCCTGGCAGTAAAAGACACTACGTATTAAGAGGCCACTCAATTAGAGATCATGATAAAATTGATACCTGCATAAAAAGCATCTTTTAAAATTTGTTTTCTGGCAATTGCCACATTTTAACCTGTGATGTTGATAATATAGTTATGACTAAAATATATTTCCTAGAAGAAAAATTCTATATTGCTTTATTTACTAACATAATATTTTCTTATTCACGATGAAGACTGGTAGGGGGTGAATCAGGAAAGGGAAATCACAGAAATTTAACCAATTTGGCTTTTCCTTAGACTTTGAACATCTTTATTCTAGCTACATATCTTTTTTAAAGAGTGCTTTAATATAGCTTAATGTAGGAAATTACAATTTACAGGAATTTCAGGCAGAATTTAAACTTGATTGCCATTATTCCAAAGAGTATTATAAAGTAAAATCCTATTTTCTGAAGTCCAAAGAAACAGCTAAAATATATGGAGTAGAAAAAAGCTAAAACATCAACATAAATGAGTTATAAGAATGTTTATTTTTCATATTAAGTATTCAATTTTTATATTCTCAGCTCTATCTTCCCTTTTATACATCTTGAGACTCATGCTATCCGTTAACAATTTAACAGAAAAATCTGGAACTGAATTATTAAAGTGAACTTTTTATTCCCCGAATGTACTCAAATTTACATTGAAACTCACCTTGAAAAGAGCATAAAGTTCTTCTAGCTCATCAATGGTAAAGGAAGTTTCTGTCACAATGGTTCGTACCTATAAAAAGAATAAACACAATGAATTTACAAACTCGAAAATGTCACATTGGGAAAGTTCTTGATTTTCTTATAAACTATCTTCAGTGTGTCAAGCAGAAATTTATGAGCCAGCAGGAACGGGACAAAGGATGGAGGAAGAGACACGCTATTTCTCACAGGACTTACCACGTTCCGTTTCGTAGTATCTTCCAGTGTCTGGATCACCTTCAGTCTCTGTTTGAACCTCATCTGCTCAATCAAATCTGCTCGGATAGTTCCAAATTTCTGGAAAGGAACAATATTGGTATTTCTGAGAAATCTGCTAAAGCACACAGTGTCGTGTCTGCAGCATTGATGGGGCCACAATCCTGATATATATTAGAAATTTTTTGTCACATGACAGGTATCCTAGACTATACCTTTATCTACTATATTATCTTTATTTATTTTAAAGCCATTTAAAAACTATAAATAAATAACAGGAAATTCTTATGCTTCTCGACCATTGAACGGAATTTCAAAGCTAAATCAGTCTTCCTCAAATCAACAATTTATGGGGAAGGAAAGGGGTTAAATAAAGCTGGCCACTTATATATGAAAAAAATGCTTTAAAGGAAGAATTTCCTTAACAAGGAGAAAGGAAGTATTTAAAAGCTCACTATTAGACTGGGAGGTTGGAAGAAATGTTGGTATAAGGCTCCCCACTCATGATTTGGTCCCAGAGCTCTCTGTGTTTGTTTCTGAGGCAGACGGAGCTAGCTATCTTTTCAAACTCCGAAATGCCCAGCATTGCCTGAATATATGTTGAACAAATTTTAAAAGCCAAATGAGTTCTAATCTGAAGGCAGAGAAAGAATTTGTAAGACGTTCTATCTCTTAATGGTGCAAAAGTAAAACAAACTCTGCTTAAAGCATGAAGCTTAATCCACGGAAGCGATGGCTGCAATGGCTAAAGATGTTTAAAGGATAAAAAAAAATGTTGACAGTATCAAGTGTTGGCAAGGGTATAGTACAAGCAAAACTCGCCTATGCTTCTACTCAAGGTATCAACTGATACAACCCTTTGGAAATCCGTTTGGCAGTATCTTCTAAATCTGAACATATCCTAGGACCCAGAAACTCCTCTCCTAAGTATACACCAAACAAAAGTATATATATTTTTTACCAACAGACATATACTAGAATATTCATAGTGCCGCTCGCTATTAGCCAAAAACAAGTAACCAAATGTGCATTAACAGCAGTGAGAATGAGTGCATGGTGGTGCTGTTACACAATGAATTACTATGCGGCAATGAACATGAACCATTCGGATACATTTCACAATCATAATGCTGAGCAAAATAAAACTGAACCGCAAAAGAACATTTTGGATAATTCCATTTATATGAAGTTCAAAAACAAGCAAAACTCATCTATGATGTTAAAAGTCATGAAAATAACCTTGGTTGGATAAATAGTGACAGGAAGGGGACATGGAGGGCACTTCTGGGGTGCTGGCACTGAACTCGGTGACAGCTACATGAGTATGTTAAACAAAAGGTTCAAAAAGACCACCTTTGTACATCCATTTAGAAATTTTAAAAAATAACTATCGATATACATACTGACTTGGATGAACCTCAAAGAAATCATGCCTGATGAAAAATGACAAATCTCAAAAAAAAAAACAAAACAGACGTATTGCATGATTTTATTTATGTACCAATCATGAAATAACATAATTGTAGAGATGGAGAGCAGACTAGTGGCTGCCGGGGTTAGCCACGCAGTGAGGGAGGGTGGGTGCGGCTCTACCAGGGTCACATGAAACAGTTTTCTGTGATGATTCAGCTGAGTGTCTTGACCGTGGCGGTGGTTTTGCAAGGTTATGCACGTGACACAAGTGCGCAGAGCTCCACATACACACGGACGCACGCGTGAGCTCCACATACACACGGACGCACGCGTGAGTGCACGTATAACTGGTGAAACCCGAATAAGCTCTTTGGATTGTGCCAGTTCCATTTCTTGGTGTTGCTTTTGCACCAGCGTTGTCTGCGGTGTTGGCATTGGTGAGGAGGGGGCCGGAGGGGAAGTGCGGGTCACTTCTCTGTACATTTCTTTGCTACCTCCTGTGAATCTATAATAATAATTTCAAATAAAAGTGTCTTCTTTTTTTAAAAGGCGGTTTCAAAGCTATGGTGTAACATTTTAGGACAGAAAACGATGAAGCAATCCGAAAAGTGAATGACAATCAGGAAGTTGAGAAATTACCTTTCGGTTTAATAACGGTACTGGAACACAGAGAGCACACTGCCTTTTTGGAATTATGAAACGAGGACTAGCATTATCTAGCTGTCAAATGTGAGAGGTGCCGAATGGCTGTCACCTAGACTGGAACTTATCTCACCCATATCCATCCATCCACTCTCCTTTCATCTATGGAATTCAGATTTTCAGCTGAGCGCTTGGATGCGCAGCAAAATGTCCAGCCTCCCTTGCAGCCTATTGTGTCTAGGTGACCAGACTCTGGCCAACAGGATGTGAGCAGACATTTTATGCTGGTGTCTCTTAAAAGGAAAGGAGCACAGCCACCCTGTCTCCCTTCCCTGCAGGGACATCTTCCAAGCATAGATGAGAAAAAAGCTGGGTCCCTGACCCCACTGAGTGCATACCGGACCTGGACCATCTATGCAGACTGCAAGTGAGAGAAAAAGTTTTCTCTTGTTAAACTCTATTCAGGGTCCATTGTTGCAACAGTCTAGCCTGTATTCCAACTCCTGTAAAAGCTAAAACATAAACTGCTTATTATAGTGCTTGGTGTAAATGTATATGTCTTAATTCCATTTACTCCCATTCTCCTGGTTCTCTTTATACTTCCTTGGCCACTGCTTTTGTCTCTGCACATCCTCTCCATCCCTAAGCCCCGGAGGGCTATAGGGCTCGGTCTTTACACCTCGAACAATTCCATCTCCCTCTATCCCGACAACCCCCCCTCGCTCTGGCTTTAACGCTAGGGAGCTCTTATTTGGAGGGTGACTGCCACTTTCTCACTGCTGGCTTGGAAAACCTAGCTCAACCTCTCTCAACCTACATTTATCACCTAAAAGGGTAACGTTCACCTGGCGGGCTGTCTGGGAAGCTCCCAGTATCTGGCCCCATGCAGGGCACGCTCTCAATGAGTAGTCGCTATCATCATCACTCGTAAGCCCAACGCATTATTCTGAACTTTCCTAACGGTCTGTCTTCTGCATAAAGTCCTCTCTGTGTTTTACTAGGCACGTTCTTTCCCTCCTCAGATTAAACCTACTGGGCTGGGTCGGTCATCCTGAAAATTAGGAAACTGTGGTGGC